CATCTCTAATTTGCTATAGACTGTAGAGACGGGCATGTCCAGAGGTCCATTAACAGTGGTAATTGGGCTTGTAGATTGCAATAGAACAAGAAGCTTTATGTCTAATGGAGTTCTTCTTGGTGTAGTGCAGGAAAGCTGCATGTAGAAGGAAAGGTTGCTCTTCAGTGAAATCTGAACCAACCAACAACTGCAAACTAAATAATGAACAGCCACGTTATTAAGTAAAATGTCAGAATTTCTTCCAGACTTCCCACTAACTTCCCTGAGGGGGATTCCACATAATTTGCCCTTGGCATCATCTAGGTACAGATGGATGATGACTGCTGGTGGTTTTAGCTGGTCCAAGGCTTTTAGCAGTTGGCTTTATGGGAAGCCTCTTCGAGAATAGGTTGGAGGATGGAGAACAAACCCACTGCTACCCATCCCCCAAAGTCTACTGCTAGCAATTTCCATTACCATCCATGGAGGAGAGTGCTATCAAGAGCTACAAGCCATGATGGCTATGCTCTGCCTCCATATTTGGAGACAGCAATGCTTCTGAATACCAGTTGCTGAAAACTGCAGAAGGAGAGAGTGCTCTTGTGCTCAAGTCCTGCTTGGAGGTTTCCTGCAGGCATCTGGTTGGCCCTGATGCTAGACTAGATGGGCAATGGGTCTGATCCAGCAGGGTTCTTGTGTTCTTACGTTTGGTATAAGGGAGCTGCTACTGGAACAGGGAGGCTACAAAGCCTCCATACACATGCAGTAGATCTTGTTCAGCCCTTTGGGTTCTGGCTGAGTAAATAAAAAAGGGCCTAGGCCAGCCTTCCCCAGTCTTCTGCCCTCAAGACTAACACTCCTGTTAAGCATCAAAAACATCTGGAGGGCATCCGACTGGGGAAGGTTGGTGTAGGCAGAATGATTGCAGTCTGGCCATCTCATGGATTGCACCTGATCTACCTTCATTATGCTTTCAGATAAGAAACTGCACTGAACAATCGCTTCACAAACAACCTTGTTGTCTTTTGAAGGTTATTCTTGTAAAGTGTTTTGTTAGGGCTTAAAAGCAGTATAAATTATTTTGTTCAAACAAACAAACAAACAAGCACAGCGTCTCAGATGCCTGTGACTTTCAACCTGAGGGCCAACAATATAAGAACACCACACTTTTGGGGGCCGTGGGATGTTTCATCTAGCATTCCAGGAGTTGATAGTGTTCAGAAACGCCGTGATTCTGCAGTTGGTTATTTACACTTAAAGCTCATTCCTCTTAGTGTACTTTGAGCCATTTCACACATTGCACATTTCAGTGTGTATTGCAGGAGAAATGCTTATTGGGCGGGGGGGGGGGGAGTAAGATGTGCATGCGACAGTCATTAGGAATCTGAGGTTGTCCCTGCCTTCCTGTGGGATATGCACACAGTGGCAAAACTGTGAAATGCCACTGTGCAATGCTTGAAGCTGCCCTTAAGGACAAGTGACTGGATGCAGGAGGATTCAGCCTCAGGCAGTTTTGCATCTGCATCCACATAGGAAACTATTCTCACAAATAAAAGAACTACCTTGGCTTCCATCCAGTGTGCAGATGGTCCGCTCCATGCTTGCTCCTTTGGAGTCTTTTCCTAGCATAGGCTTGCACAGGCGTCTAGGCTGGAGGCAGGGGTGTGCTTTGCAGGGAAAGGTGCCAAACATCATGTCCTGCCAGCTTTTTCTTACCAGTTCCCAGAAGATTATGGACAGGAAAGGTTGATAAGAAGCCAAAGCCATAAAGCCATGCATGTGAAACAAAGAGAGTTGACTGTGTGTGTGTGTGTGTGTGAGAGAGAGAGAGAGAGAGAGAGGGAGAGGGAGAGGGGGGGGATGTACATTGCATGTTGCAGCAGACAAATTCCTCATATGAGGTGCACAACAAAGTTGCTTCTTCAAATCATTATGTGCAGGACTTTGCGACGTGTTTGGGCTGTACAGATAGTCCTCTTTTTCATCTTTCCATGTTGCGCTAGATTTCCAGTATAAAGTCCACATGGACACTACTGTGCCAGATCCTAGTTGCTGGGAATCTCAGGTGGCAATTGCGCTGCTGTGCTCCTGTCACTTAAGGAAGTTCATGAAAAGATAGCCACCCTACCAGCTCTCACTTTGTTCAGAAGGGCACCCTAACCCACCAGGGAGACCTTTCGGGCAGTGGGGGGGGGGGGAGGGCAGCAGGCAGGAGGGGAGAAGAAACATTCCCTCCTTTAGACAAGTGATTACCGTAAGTGCTACAATATTGTCTTTTGTTAAACTTTCAAATAGCTGTTCTGTTTTTATAACGTAGTGTGTTTTGCTATAGCTTCAGCTTGAGGTTTATAGCAGAAACATAATGATAGCCCAAGAACAGAAATTGTGCAAACAAAAGACAGAAACAGTCAGTAAAAATTGATACTTCTCAGGGTTGCGCTTTGGCACGGGGAGCTCTGATTTCCAAGATGACGTAATACACAAAAACATTTGGATTCATGGAATAAGGCCATTAGCACTGTACTGGGGACCATGAACCTTCTGTCATAGGGTGAATCTCAGTTGCTTTTGTTTGTTCATTGTGGAGTGATTTGCAGGCGCCTGAAAACTATCTTGCAATCAAATAGTAGAAATCTGCTTAATCTGGGTGATACTGATAGCTGTCAACGATTGCGTTGCCATCCCAATGGATTTAGGAAGTACCAACTGTTGCTAATTTCTCTAAGAACAGACTCTTTATGGCATCTGCATCATTATTTTGATTAACCCTTCTCTTGAATGTGAATCTGAGGCCACCAAACATTTCATAAGCTACTTACATCTTTGTTCTATCTGGCTTCATTAATTGTCTTGAATCTGGCTACTATAAAGTTTGCAGAACTAATAGCCAAATAGAGCTTCTGTGCAAACTTCTGGTTTTGTTACATACATACCATGAGAATCTGCCTCATACTGAAAGCAGCCCTAGGTTAGTAGGTGTTATTGTACACTCCCCCTCTCTCAAAGCTTTCCTCTTGTACACACATTATTTTGTGGTTTTGTGGTTGTCTTCTATGCAATATCTATCTGTGATCTTGGAGTCTGGGGAAGATAGTGGATTATAGCCATTGAAAAGACTCGTTGGTGAGGCAGTAATAGGATTTAGCCACAACAGATGTTAACCGCAAGCCATGCAAAGGCGTCACAGAAGTTGCTGGCCTTTTCTTCCTGGCAATGGTTGTGACAAGCTCTTCCTTCAACATAAGAGATGACTAGGGCTGAACTGTGTCAAGGGCACACTTGCTATTTTCCTCACCTCAAGAGAAGTAGTAGCCCGTACAGACTACATTTTTGGAGAGTCTTAAAATCAGCGATAATAAATTCTAGTCCATGGTTCTAGGCCATGTTCTCATACCTAGGTTCACTCTTTCTGCAGTGCTGCAATGAATACCCACTTTATTGGACATATATACAGTATGGGACCAAGAGCTTTCTTGTACCAAAGATATTCTCCCTATATGTGGGCTGAATATAATGCTGCTGCCTATGGATGAGGAATATGGTTGATGTCACAAGGACTAGCTGGTTTGAACACCTTTTACTGAACATGAATGCATATTATAATTGTGTGTTAAGTATCCAGGGATGGTCCACAGCATTCTAAAGTTTCAATGTACAGCAGTGTTCCAAAGCAGGGCTCCTTTTAAAAGCTTCCTTAGCAGCGGTATCTCTTGCTGTGACTTCAAATACACCTTTATTTCCCCTTCATTGTCAATATACTTTGTTTAGTCTACAAGCATTTACAGTTCTTGGCAGATGCATTATTTACTCAATAAACCGGCTGTCCTATAAATACATACCTAAAGACTACTCAAATTGACAGTAAAATCTATAGGAAGTGAAGCTGCAGAACACAGTCCCAAGAGCCTTGGGCCATATTTCCTTTTTAAAAGGATCAAATAAATAATGAACTCACTGCTCTAAAAGGTACCTTGTATCACTTTGTTGACACCCATAAAAGAGAAACACCATCCGTATAAATGAATTTATGGAAACACTCTCTCAGCCTTCTAATTTCCTGTTAGAAGAATCCACCCCCATTCTCACAGATAATACTGGAGTGTTTTCACCTGCTCATTTCAACCCCTATAGAAAATCTGGCGGCAATGTCTCCCTGTAGCTGCTGTTCAGGCTTTAGGATTATGCCTAAGTATAATTTATCTGGGCCTGGTGCAAACTTGTAACATTGGCCCTTTTAATCATCTTGAAAGGTGAACCCAGTACCAATTTTTATGGCCCAGCCCAAACAAGCCTTGTCTGTTTTGAATATTTGGTCCTTTAGCTCCTTTGTTTAAGCTTTTGTCTGCTTGCTTCATGATTATAGACATAGCAGTATGACAAGAAACAAACACATGATTGATATTATACACTGACCCTGGGATCTAGTGTCAGTTTTTCTAAGAACTCTGGAGCTCACAGATGTAATTCACAAGCTTTCTGGGGCTTGGAAATCTCAGCAGCACTGGCTCCTCCTGTTCCTGGGATCTGTGTTCCTGATTTTGTGGCATTTGTCCCTCATGTCTTCTGCCACACCCTATGGGCTTCTTCTGGAATTCCCTGTAAGAATCAAGGAATTCTGGGGGTTGTTATTCTTTAGGGAGCATGGCACATAGGGGAGCACATTTATCCCAGTGCCCTAGACTTACCTGTACAAGCACACTCTTAGGAACAAAGGAAGCTGCCTTATACTATTGGTTCATCTAGTTGAGCATTGCCTGCACTGAATGGCAGTGGTTCTCCAGATAGGAGACATTTCCTATATGTGGTATTTCCCCTTCCTTCCTTCCTTCCTTCCTTCCTTCCTTCCTTCCTAGCACCTTACTATTCTAGCCTTATTCAGATATTATCCAGGCATAGAGCTTACGTTTGGAGAAGGAGGCAGCAGGATGCGTTGCTGGCACTGCCCCTGGAAATCCATGTGTTGACACAGATGTCTGCATGGTGTGCTTTTGCTCTGCAAACATCTATACTAACATCCTGCTGGATAGCTTAGTTGGTTAGAGCATGGTTCTGATAATGCCAAGCTTGCAGGTTCAATTCCTGTACCAAGACCAGGGCCGCATGGGGCATGGGCAGCAGTGTGGCCTCATTGCCCTCTTCTTCATGCACATGGAGAGCACATGGAAAGAACTCCAGCATGTTGCCTTCCTGTCCTAACATTGTTCTGAATGACTTCAACAAACCCCACAACATAGAAACAAGTTTGCGTAAACATCCTCGAGCATGATCTCTAGTTCTGCCACAGTTTCTCCCTATATGGTAATGGATCCACAGCCTAATTCTTTCCCTCTCATCCAGGGTCACCAGGCCCAAGTAAACTGCCCTCCTTCCCACCTCCCTCACCCGTGGTGAAACTTGCAATCATTTGAATCCTGGAAATTCACAGGAGCTGATGGTCTGACACTTGTGAGGTGTGTGTGTGTGTGTGTGTGTGCATGGTGAGGTTAATGTAAAGGTGAATGTTGAAATTTAAACCAGGCTTTAATTTAAGCCTGTTAACTTGAATGTGCTTTATTTCACTGATGACAATGTGTGAATTATGTTGCAAGAATATAGCTCATATGTTGCACGCACACACATAATTCTCTGCAAGTCAGACCATATTTAAATAGTAGAGAAGCGCCTAATCATAACCCAAATCATATGCTGTAATTACATGTTCAAAAGATCAACATAATAAAAGGCTGCAATAAATAGAACTGCTTAAATTGTTGCGATGCATTCCTATTAGTCCTCGGTCTACATCCTGTATCCCTCCCCAGGGCACGCAAATGCCTCTGCTTGCTGCAGCAGGGATATTTTGTTAAATAATGGCAGATACAGGAGACCAGCTATGTAGATGAAATTTTATGAACCCAGAGGTGTGTTTGTGGTGATGCAATTGCTCGAATGCTCCACTCCTTCATAGGTGCATCTGGTTTGCCACTGGGCTCTGTGGTCTCGCTGGCAGTAGGTGTGGCATCGGAAGGTAGGGTATGCCCTTTGCCTCTGTCCCTGTTGAAATGATGCACAGTTGGCTTGGAAGAAGCAAGAGAAACATGGGGATGGTAATGAGTAATGGCTAGCAGCTGCAGCAGATGGTGCCTGTTTCTGGCTGCTCATTAGGAGCTGTTGAGCAATAGGAGTGGAGGGTGCTGACTCTCTATGGCAGACATCCCCAACCTGCGGCCCTCCAGATTTTGGCCTACAACTCCCATGATCCCTAGCTAACAGGACCAGTGGTCAGGGATGATGGGAATTGTAGTTCAGAACATCTGGAGGGCCGAAGGTTGGGGATGCCTGCTCTATGGCAAGCCTGAATGCAGCTATCACCTCTTCTCTCGGTTGTGCACTCAATATCTGAATGTGGGAGAACATGTTACTGTCAGCACAATGCTCCCCTGTCCTTTTGGCACTGCAACACCGCCTGAAGTTCCTGCTTGTTCCACTGCATGCCTCCTTGCTCTTAGCCTGTAAGGAAGAATATGTCAGAGGTGGTTATGTGGCTAGCTGTACCAAGAGTTGGAGTAAAGTGCTTGGCTATCCTTTTGAATCGATGGTGTGGGTACTTTGGAAGGTTGTGTCCAACAGGGTCCTACCCTTTTCAAATATCAGTTGCTGATAAGCATGGGAGGGGAGAATGCTCCTGTGGTCATGTTCTGCTCACTTGTTTCCCGCAGACATCTGGTTGGCCACCTATTAAATTTAATGGGCTTACTCCCAGGTAAGGGGAGTTAGGTTTCCAGCCTTAGTCAGTGCTCTCTGTCTTAGGGACATGATTAGTCTCTGTTAAGTAAAAAGAGTAAATTACAAGAGGGGGGCAGGGGACGAGGAGATAATCTGTTGTTTGAAGATGCTGCCACCAATCTTCTTCCTCAGAAGCGAAGTGGTGGAGATGAATGATGCTTCTTGGAGGCATGAAATCCCCCCTCCCCCCCCAATCCGTCTTCATTTCTTGTCTGTGTGGCATACTTTTGTTCTTGCCTCCCCAGCTTCTGGACTGGAGTTAAAGTTTCTGATAGATGCTCACATTTGGTGTCCTGGAATAGTAGCTGAACAACAAAACACAAGTGCCCTTCCTGCATTTGCTATTCTCTTTGGTTGTGCAAAGTCCTTCCATTGGACAAAGCACTCTTTCACCAAAGCAAGGGTCAGCAAACTTTTTCAGCCTTGGGCTGGTCCACTGTCCCTCAGACCTTGTGGGGGGCTGGACTGTATTTTGAAAAAATAATAATGAACGAATTCCTATGCCCCACAAATAACCCAGAGATGCATCTTAAATAAAAGGACACATTCTACTCATGTAAAAACACGCTGATTCCTGGACCGTCCGCGGGCTGGATTTAGAAGGCGATTGGGCCGGATCCGGCCCCCGGGCCTTAGTTTGCCTACCCATGCACTAAAGAGTGGTGTTGTACACACCAGAGAGGGGGTGTCTTCCCCTGATGTGCATTACCTGATTTGTTTCCACCCACCCATGAAGCCCTATTCAAGGAAGCTGTCATTTGTGCAGGTGCAATGGCTGTCTCCAATGTACACACCTCAGCTGAACCATGCATTGCATTTTCAAATCATTTTTTTAGACGCAATTTATTAATTTTATAATCACAAAAAGGAAAAGAACATCATAATAAAAAAATTAAATCATACATCTTAACTGACTTCCCTCCACTCCCCCTCCTGGTTCCATTATTATATACTTATTCATGCACGTCCATAAAATATTATATTCTTAACTGTCTGATTTTAAAACCTTATTCATGTTGTAACAAGTGACCTTTAGAAGTTCAACTAATGTAAAAACCTATACACAAAGCTTGCAAAGCATGCATTAAACATTTTCCCATATATATTTTAAAAAACAATGTCCTTTTCTTTCTTGGGTTTCAAATTGTCTAATATGTCCTGCATGTTTCATGAATTTGTTTTTCTGATCTTCTTTGGCAGTAGCTTCTTCCTTCTGCAGGGATGGGCTTCTCTTGGCCTGGCATCCACTCTCAGATGCAGGAATAAAGTCTTTTGCGCAATAAATCCATTAAGTCCTGTACCTTTCAAAATCACAGCTTCTGGGTTGTTAGTTTTTTTTAAAACAAAAATCATTTCCAACATTCTCTTCAAATCTTTATATGTTACCTCCCAGGCCTTCTTAATAACTTTGCATTGCCACCACATATGGTAGCCTCTCATACATGCATTTTCAAATCAGATGGAAGCTGGTTTGAGGGAAAATGTATCAAGCAGGAGTATTTCTCAAGAAACTACAGGATACATACGCATTGTGGTTAACATCATGTGTGCTCTCCCTCAAACACCAGGGATGGGACTCAACTGGATCTGGAGTAAATGGTTATGTGCACACACCACTGGACTCTACATGGCTCCTATTTTGCTATCATCGCCATATGCTGGTAAGGAGACAGGCCTTAAGGCCCAGCGGAGATGATCAGACACTTTAACTCAACTAGTTAGCCCTATGAGCCTCCCTACCCTTACCACATCCAAGCTCTTCCTTCTCCCGCTCATGATTGCATTATTACGCTACCATAACTTGAATTTATGCCAGGCTAGTGGATTTATTTGCAGTCGTCCCTTCACGCAGTTGGTGTAAGTTGGAGATAGGACCCCACCATAAATCAGAGGTGAGTGCTGGAATTGGGTAACGTGAGCCTGATGCCTTAATCTCTTTTTTTGCCTAAAAAATTCCCCTTGCTGTGTCGCAGCGGCTACACTCTCCAGCAGTTTAAAAACAAATCCAGAAGCAGCTTTACAACTGCTTCTCAATAAAACTAGAGAACCGAAAGAAATATCTTTGCATCTCTAATGAAACTTGGGGAAGGCTCCCCCTTCCTATTTGAAGTTTTTATTACGGGAAGGTTATGCCATATGTTGTTTTTTTTAAAAAAGGAAAACATTAGATAGAATTACCAAGATCTGTTTTAGATAAATCACCCCTTTCCCTTGTTATTCTTATGGTGTTGATAAAGTACTGAGTTTCTTTGCTGATAAAACAGTGGTATGGTGGAGAAAAAGGAATCAGTTGCATGCTGGTCTTCTAGTTTTAGAGAGAGATCTTTGTTTGGCTCAGTGGCTCAGTTTGCATGCCATGTGAAACCATTTTTTAAACCATGGTTTGTGGAACAAGCCATGCTTAAGCAAAAGGATGTTCTGCAGTTGATCGAAGTAACTATGGTTCTACCCTATTTTGTTCTAGCCCTCAGCTGCCTCTCCGCCCAACATCCCTTAAGAGTTGGTGGCACCCAAGTTCTGGCATTGCAGCACTGTGTCACCATTTTCCTTTGCATTGGCTGGCTGCAAGAGTGAGGGTGTGGAAATCTTCTAGGTGACCTTTGGCACCTGTCATCAAGCACCCACTCTGTTCCACCAAGAAAGAAATGCCCCTACTTCTTTGCAGCCGGAGAAGTCTTTGAACCCTTTTCTTCCACTCCTGTGTTCTACAACTGCACTTTTTATTTTTCTTTCTCCCATAAATTGCTACCATGGATTTATGCTTTGAGATTACTGAGCATCAACTATGTTGGAGCCACTCACATCTCCTACCCCTCCACTGCCATGGAATTGGATAGACTGCTTTTCCTAATGCACGCCTAAGTTGTTCATCTGTTAGATGTAATTAATATCAGGAACACAACCTCATATTGAATCCCCCTCCCCATCTTAACTCAATTCTCAGCTCTGCTAGTCGTTTCATATTTTATTTCTTTGCCTTGCTGTCAAAGAGTAAAATTGCAGCTCTTGTTACCATTTCCTACTTGGAGAAAGTGCCTTTGTTTTGAAATAGGACTTCACCCTCCCCACCCTGTCCGTGACTTTACTCCACAACTCATACAAGCACCTCTTGATTTTTTCCGTTTATCTGTGTTACTATGCAACCCTTTTTCAGCTGCAGAACTTAGTCTGGTGAAATCCCAGCTGCTTCCATCTGTGCAACCCTACAGTGGTATGAACATCCACCTGCGTGAACCCCTGACCCTAACAGCACAAATATAACACACTCAGAAGGTCTTTTTGCCATAACTTCACTTCACAATCACATAAGACAGATGCAGCAGATGCTGCATCAAATATAAGCAGAAGAGGCAGTGCTTGTGTGTTTTTCAGTTATCAGTGATGTCAGCTTTGGGGAAAAATGCCAGCAAGAGGAGTTGAGCATTGAGGGAGGCTTCTTTTTCTAGTTGCTCTTGCCTAATGGCTCTGTTGCTTGGTGCATAATTTCACTGGGGTGACTAAACAAATCACACTTAAACATTAGTTAAGGAAGTCCCCATGTCTGCCTGTAATGCTAAGACAGCAACAACTCATGACTTATTTTTGCAAACCATAGTTGACAATCTATAGTCAAGACATCAGATGTAAAGCTAAGCCATGGCTTCTGAACAAAGGTCTGTTTAAAGCATGGTTTAATGTGGCATGCAAACCAAGACAATAAATGTAGAAGGATGGTGATAAAAAAAAAAAATGTACCTGGTGCAGTTTTCTGGAAGCTACATTTTAAAGGTAGCATTTTATAAATGATTGTAGAAGGCATATGTAAGGCTGTTAGTATAGTACACCCTTACCTTGTCCTATTGTTGCCATATGATAAAATGATAATTCTCTTAGTGGCATCTAATTTCACCTGTTGAAATTAGATCTTCTTACAAAAGATAATCTTGCAGGCATTAGTCAGCCTCTGACAAATTTGCTAGTTGGTTTTACATTGGATGTGAGATGATGATACACAGTTTATTGATGCAGATAGAACTCTGCTGTGGCTCAGTTGTGCATTAGCCATACATTAGTTGCATATTGATACACAACAGAGCCTTGGTCACTGCACCACAGTCAAATGCAAACATTGGTGCAGTTGCGGTTTGTGCCTGAGTCTTCATACTGCCCAATTCAATGTTGGTATTGGATTTTGAGAAATATGTAGCATTGAGCAATACAGTTTATAACCCATGCCCTTTCTGCTTCTTACCTTAGAGTACAGATGGTGCTTAAGTTATAGTCCTGTTCTCCTTTTAAGCAGGTTTGTTTTCAGGTTTGAAAGGGGCCCTTTGCAAGGTCCCAGTTGCCCTGTTCGGTTCCCACAACGCTCTTAAGCAACATGACATTGGGGCATTATGGGAAATTTAAAATGGCTGGCAGTTACCTGACCCATCCACTCAGTGTGGAGAGACCAGGGTACCCAAGGATGTCAAGTGCTGATGCCAGGGTGGGCTTGAAAGACCAGCATGTGTAGAAATAGGGGAAAGGATATGTATTTGTGTGTGAGAGAGCGTTATGTGACTCTTTGCAGGTTAGAAAGATGGTAACAATCACAATATTTTATTAGAGAAGCGCTGGTCTGCTGTCTCAATTTGAACTGAGACTGGATTTGATATTGGAAGAATAGACCGGCATTTCCCCAATAAAATACTGTTTTTAACCCTTTACTCTCCTCTCCATGTACTTATCAACATTTGTATCCCTTTTCCTATTGGGATGCTGCAGAGGTATCTTCCTGCTGCTTTGCTCCTGCTTTGGATGCTGTTAGTTTTCTTTGTTCACAGCCTCATCCCTGCTCTTCGCTCTCCACCCCCCTCAATTAATCCCCTGTTCTGCAGGTTCTTATTTGTGCTCAGCAATCATGGAATGCCAGGGAGAGAGCATGCAGAGCTCATGTTTCATTACCCAGGCGTCAGGGAGAATTCCTTCACTTTGAACCGCTGCAGCCTCTTTCTTGCTCTCTTCTTTGTTCCTTTCAGACACAGGGTATGCCAACATTCTCCCTCCCTCCCCGCCAGATTTTCGTTCTTTGTTTTTTCGCTTACTCTCAGTTTCACTTTCTTCACAATGCCACATTCCTTCCTTTATTTGTTCAAGCAATCTGAGAAACAAAGCCAGAGAGCAAAGCAGCCTCCCTCTGTACACACAAAACCCAAAGAATCATATAACATTGGTGGCGATTGTGCAAGGGGGACAAAAAGATCTTAGAATCATAGAATTGGAAGGGACTCCAAGGATCATCTAGTCCCCTGCAATGCAAGAATATGTAACTGTCCCATACAGGGACTGAACCTGCAACCTTGGCATTATCGGCACCACGCTCTAACCAACTGAGCTGTAGTCCACCCCACTTTGCTCCTATGTTCTTATGCTGGCAGCTTCCATGCAGTCGTAATCTGCAACAATACAATCCAGATTTTAGGGTGCCACTAACAGGAAGCGGGACGCGGGTGGCGCTGTGGGTTAAACCACTGAGCCTAGGGCTTGCCGATCAGAAGGTTGGCGGTTCGAATCCCCGCGACGGGGTGAGCTCCCGTTGCTCGGTCCCTGCTCCTGCCAACCTAGCAGTTCGAAAGCACGTCAAAGTGCAATTAGATAAATAGGTACCACTCCAGCGGGAAGGTAAACGGCATTTCCGTGCGCTGCTCTGGTTCACCAGAAGGGGCTTAGTCATGTTGGCCACAGGACCTGGAAGCTGTACGGCGGCTCCCTTGGCCAATAAAATGAGATGAGTGCCGCAACCCCAGAGTCGGGTACGACTGGACCTAATGGTCAGGGGTCCCTTTACCTTTAACAGGAAGCAGGAAGAGGTATGGAGCAGTAGTTCTTGATGACAATCTCTGCAATAGCTGGTCTCTTTGACTTGGAGGAAAAACGCCTTTCCAATTCCAAATACAGGAATCAGTCAGACCTTGAGCATGAGCAAAACCCATCTGCTGAGATAGCCAGGGGAATTGTATTGGGAACAACTCCACATGACCCGTGCTCTGACTCTAGTTGTGGCAATGCAATGTTTGGGAAGGTATCCAAATTTGCCAGGCTGCTGACACCTGCTGATTCCTTCTGTTCATGACTCTTCTGCATATTGGAAGCTGTCTGAGACTGAGTCAGGCCGTTGGTCCATCTAGCTCAGTACTATCAACACTGACACTCAGCAGCTATCTAGGGTTTCAGGCAGTGGATGTTCCCAGCCCAGCCAGGAGATGCCAAGGATTGAACCTGGCACATTCTCCATGGAAAACAGATGTTTCACCACTGAATTACTTCCCCTATTGCAAGCTTATGTGGGTGTTAAGTCCCACTGAACATGCTGAGATTCCTGGTGGTTAAAACATGCATATGGTTGAAATGCACATGGAACTACTGGTATAAACTGGGCAGAGGTAAAACAGGCAAGCTGTGCTAATAGCATCCTTTATTGCACACCACTCTTTTCTTTAAAACGAACCATATTAAATTGATATAGTTGTCCATCAATACATGCAAGTGACTCATGCAAGTGATCCTTTCCCATGAGATTTGGTGATGAGTTGCATACTAAGGTCATTGGGCAAGAATAACTTCCACGTAGAAAGGAAATTCCGCATAGAATTGTAGAGTTGGAAGGGACCCCAGCGGCTTGAACCCATGACCTTGGGATTAAGAGTCTCATGCTCTACCAAACTGAGCTATTCAGAAGACATTTCCCTAGAATCCAGGGAGTTTTGAGATTTAGATACTGGAAACTGGTATGAATTTAACTTCTCTCACAGTGTTTTGATCTGGTGCAGTCAAGTCCAATTTGTGTAGTCCAAATGAGAGCAACAATATTGTCATACTGGGTGGAATTGGCAGGCCATTTTCTGCATGTGATACCAGATCAGAACGGTGTCTGATCAAGAGGATAGGAAAGCAGGTATGGTGCCCACAGCCAGTATGATTTGGTAATGGGGTATGGAAACTCTGGGCCACAATCTGAAGCCAGGTTGCTGGACTCTTGCCAAGCCATGCTCCTTCTCCCTGATGACACCACTAATCCTCCTTACTGTAACAATAGCTGACCAGACTGGCAAACCAGTCTGACCAATAGCCGATTAGACTGCTTTGCCAGTCCCCTTGGGGTTAGAGTGTCAAGCTAGGGACTCCTCCACACTGCCAGTATTTTGTGGCAGTGATGCAATTGCCTACCAGACGTGGAATAAAGTGTCCTGTCACCTGAGGGGTATCACATCCTCTTTTTCAAAACGAACAAGTCCCAGACTTCTTGCAAGTTTGGAAAGTGACAGAGAAATGCATGGAAAAGTATGGTCCAAATGAATGAATAATGGAAAGTTGTGTGACCACCACCTGACAAGCAAATCAGGATGAATGCTGTCTGCCATATAGCCACCCTAAAGGTAAAGATACCCCTGACCGTAAGGTCCAGTCACGGATGACGCTGGGGTTGTGGAGCTCATCTTGCTTTACTGCCCAAGGGAGCTGGCGTTTGTCCGCATGCAGCTTCTGGGTCATGTGGCCAGCATGACTGGCGAACCGGAGCAGCGCACGGAAACACCATTTACCTTCCCACCGGAGCAGTACCTATTTATCTACTTGCACGAACTGCTAGGTGGGAAGGAGCTGGGACCAAACAATGGGAGCTCACCCTGTCTCGGGGATTCGAACCACCGACCTTCTGATTGGCAAGCCCTAGGCTCTGTGGTTTAGACCACAGCACCACTCTGCAACATATCAAAATGAATGTTCAACTGCATCAGCTTTGTACAAGCAAATCAGGATGACTGCTCAGTAAATAGGTTGCATGAAATAGCCCTTGGGCCAGAGACAGGTGAGTTTAAATCCCTGTGAAATTTGTTGGGTGACTCTTGCAGCTCAGTCTACCCAGCAGCGTTGTTGTGAGGATAAAATGGGAAGGGGGGTGGAGTAGAATGCCACCTTGAGCTCCTTGGAAGAAGAGCAGGATTGAAATGTGCTAAGTTAATAAATGTGTGTTAAATATGTATGCTTGAATTATACAGTATGTTTAAGGAGATCTTGGAAAAGCAGAAGTGTGGAAGAAGCTTCCATGGGGTCTGGTGTCCCTTTTGTTGCTGCTGAGTCCGGCTGCATCTTGCAGAGCAGACAGTACCAAGTGCTATACAGTGGTACCTCAGGTTAAGTACTTAATTTGTTCCGGAGGTCCGTTCTTAACCTGAAACTGTTCTTAACCTGAAGCACCACTTTAGCTAATGGGGCCTCCTGCTGCTGCCGCGCTGCTGCTGCGCAATTTCTGTTCTCATCCTGAAGCAAAGTACTTAACCCGAGGTACTATTTCTGGGTTAGCGGAGTCTGTAACCTGAAGCGTCTGTAACCTGAAGCGTATGTAACCCGAGGTACCACTGTACTTTGATGTCCTCATGTTATCAAGACAGTTTTTTTTGGGTTTTTTTTTACTTCTCCTGCTTCTTTCCTCATTTGCACCCCCTCTCTCACTCCATATGGTACAGAGAAAGGAAAGATGTTTGGAACACTTGCCAGCTTGCGGTGGTTGATAAAGTGAAAACTGTGCAGATAACAGGAGTAAGGGGGCCTCCTTGCATCTTGATGAAACCGCACAGCTCTTTTGCTTCCATTGTTTGTTTTGTTGCAGCATTTCCATTTCTCATTCCATTTCAAAGCTTTTTCTCCTATTTATTTTAACACATGCATATTGTTCATACTGGGTATGCAGACAGGAGGAAGGAGCGAAGTCTTAACTCCTGTTTTGAGCCGAAACCTCACTAAGGAAACAATAGCTGATTAATTGTATGCATTTTAGTTGATTGATGAATTAATTAAATTAGCAAAAACTGCATTTGAATTTAAAAAGTTGCTATGAAGCAAGAGACTCTCTCTTTTTGTGTTTAGGTAATGCACAATAATATCATGGCGGGCATAATCTTGGAACTGGCATTCCCATCTCTGTATGAGAGAGAAAGAGGAATGTCTGTGTTGTCACACACACACACACACACACACACACACACACTCATATCCCATATTAATCAGGGCATATGTTTAGTTGAGAAACAGTCATTTTAATTCACCAGTCTAACTGACTAATCAGTTAAACACTGCAGCCCAATTCATCTATCAATTACCTATTCCTGCAAGGCAATTCTTTGCATGCTTATTTGAAAGCAAGTCCCACTGAGGTCAGTGCAATGCTCTTCTTTCTCAGGAGTGAGTCCCACTGAACTGAGTGGACCAGCCTCTGAGTAAACATGCATAGGATTGCATTGTTAAAAGCTTTTGCCACTTCCCAAGACTCATGTGTTAAATAAGCACTGAAGCGGCCAGTGTGGTTTAACTTAGTGATTATTAAATGTTTGCATTCTTAAACTCCTCTCTCCTTTTCCCCCCCATTGTCATTGCTATAGTGATTTAGGAGATTATCATCTTTAGCGTAGATGATACGCTATTCTATAATAGAAAAGGTTCATGTGTTTTGGCAACTGTTCAGAATCCCTTCCCTTCTTATTCAAAGTACTTTAGCTCTTAGCGGTTGCAGTTTCCTTGTCCATGCTGTTAACTCATCAACAATGATCTTCACCACTTTAGCCATAATAAATGGGCAAAAGCTACCTAAGGGCAAAGGCCACTTCATGTGATGTTTGCCCATGACATGCAGCACCTAATATGGCTGTACATCTATGATATGTGTGTGTTTGTCACACTGCACTTACATTTAAATTGTAATCATTTATGTATTTGCGTCTATACATACAAATTAGCATATGCAAATCTGCATCCTCGTTTCATCTTCATTTTTGGTGATGCGTAAGTGACCACCCTTTGTGTCCTTTCGGAAGCTCCCTACGGGCTGTGCATCTGTAACCGCTACATATTTTGAAACACGTGTTTGCAGGTAGAACATGTATTGTTAACATTTGTGAGATAGATACGTACTAAAAGGTTTTCTTGCTGGAAGTGTTTGAAGCACGGCAGCATTCAGACAGGATTTCTGTGGAGTAAGTGATTGTGGTCCTACGTATCAAAAAATCTGGAAAGCTTTAGGGGCCCTGCACTCGGACAACATCAAAAAGGCAGATGTTTCCCCGGGGCTAGGTTTTGGGAGGAGCCGTCATTGCGTTAGTAAAGGTCGGAGAGGGAACTGATCAGATAGGCTTTGTTGGCTGGAGTCTTAAGAAGTTATCTGGCTGGAGATGAAAATTTAACGAGGGCATTAGAATGTTTCTGCTGACAATAAATCCCTGAAACACCCGGCGTACTTTGTGCTTATATTGATCTTAAATATTGCACCTACAGTAAATGCTTCATGCTCTATTAACACCAGCGCTAGAGAGTCTTTTTGATCATTGTATTTACAAGTTTCAAGGGTCATATGGTACTGCTGATGAAATCGCCAAATGCTGCTGCCCTGTCCTGAGAGGGAAACCAGCTGTGCACTGCTTTGCACAGGGAGAGCTTGAGAACTATACCCAGGGAAGTGGTTGTTTTACATGCTGCCTACCGGCAGGCTGGGACATGCAGCGTTTGAGATATAGGGCCTCCTGTAAATCCTGATAATCTTCATTTTTAGTTGCTAGCACTTATTTTGGGACTGTGGCTATAATAGAAGGAGTTAGAGGAGGAAGGGAAGAACCCAGATAAGTATATAATGCAGCTTTTTTTTAAAAAAGAAGAAGCCTAAAGACAATTGCTGGCCTGCAAAAGTAGCTAAAGATAGAGAAGTGTGAAGAGGGTGCCTGGGAGGAAGAAAGGAAGCGTAGAGAAGATTATCGAGGCAAGATCTATAACTGGACCAGGGTTCATACTATGCCACTGTCATGATGGTAGCATGAGTAGAACTGAGATGGGAAACCTGTGGACATGCAGATGTCCTGGAGGGCAACTCCCATAATTTCTGGACATGCTAGCTGGGCCTGATGGAGCCCAACTACATCTGATGGACCAAAGGTTCCCCATCCCTAGAGAAAGGATGTGTGTGTGTGTGTGTGTGTGTGTGTGATATTTTGTGCCTGCCAGCTTGGTATAGCTATTTGCCATGCCTCACCCTCAGTCTGAGGAGCCTTTCCAGAAGGAACTGAGTGGCGACTTTGTGGTTTAGTTATAAAAAAGGGGAGTGGTGGCTGACACAATGCCATCAGCCATGGGACTCCTGGTGTGTGAAAGCTGTTGTGCTGCCTTTAGCACAATGCCCTTTTAATGGCGACATCTGCCAGGTGAGAGACTTTCTCCACCTTTCTCCTTCTTGGGTTCTTCTCCCTGAGGACTGCTAGGAGGGCAGTTGCCATAAGAATAAGGGTACCTTTTCTTGTCCCAGGAGAGGGAACCCTGATGAGAGAAGGGTCTCTTACTATCGGGAGAGGGTGAGCTGTCTGAAGTTCCTTGTGGATTTCATGCAGTTTGCTTTGGGGCTAGATTTGGAATCCCAGTGTGTGTGTGCAGGTGGGTTTTCTCAGGACGAAGTAGGGGCTGTTGTTTGACATCTTTACTGGGCTTCGGTATAGCAATATAGTATGCATGGTTGGAGACTAGTGCTAAGGAGACTTCAGTTTCCTTAATCCTATATTTTCCTCTATTGCTGCTAGTGTGATTTGAGCAAGCTATCTAATTGTTAGGTCGCTAAATATAACTGCTGAATGACTTCCTTAATGTAGGTTTAATCTTAATATTATTGGTAATGAATAATTTGTTAAGTGACTTATTGGTA